GCTGTCCAGAAGCCGGTGACTGATCTGCCTCTCCCAGAAAGAGCACAGTGATGGTGCCAACTTGGGTCAGTGAAGCAATGTCCATCACAACTGAAGAACAAAAGAAATGACAGCAACTTCTCTGTTCCCTTTCCCCCAATTCCTCAGCACTGTTCCCATCCCCCCAATTCCCCAATAAAAATCTTAAAAAAAAGAGTTGGCTTGGGATGCCAGCTCTGAGCAGCAGGGTCCTGGTTCGGATCCCACATGAGGGCCAGTGATGCTGTGCCCTCTACAGCTAAGATGGTGAACAACAGCTCAAACCAAAGCTGGGCTCCTATGAATTGCCGGCGATGGCATAGGCTGCAGTCCCTGCTGCAGTTGGCTGCCGTAAGCTACTGTGAGTGGCTGGCAGCCAGCATGAGCTGCCTTGAGCCGCTGTGAGCGGCCACCCAATGACCGATGACCAACTGCCTCACCCGGGGAACAGCGCAATGATAATATCAACATGGGCCAGTGAAGCGATGTTCTCCAAAACTAGACTGAAGAACAAAAGGACAGCAACTTGTCTGTTCCCCTTCTCTGATTCCCCAATGCTGTTCCCTCCCCAATTCTCCAAAAAAATATTTTAAAAAAAAGATCCCTTTACACACATACAGTACACCAACCCTCATTACCTGCTTTATTTTTGTCCATAGCACTTGTCACCATCTGACTTAGTATGTATTTCATTTATTTGTTAGTTTTATCTATTTATTTGACCTAGTATAAATTCACTAAAGAAGGGAGTTTGGTTTTTTTGTTCACTGCTAATATCTTGGTATCTAGAACAGTGTCTGGCACATGGCATGTACTCTGTAAATATTTATTAAATGAATGAATTAATTCTTAAACAATGCAAGGAGATGATTACTACACCTCACAGGTGAGAAGAAAATACCACCAAAACCACCACCACAAATAGCAAAAACAAAACAAAAGCTGATGCATGAGGTTAAATAACTACTCAAATATTTTTTAAACATTAAATTTTAAAAAATTACCATTTACTAAGACACTGTTTAATTAATTTATGGTATAACAAAATAATGAAATAATATGTCGCTCTAAAAATAATGAGGACAATCTTTATATTCTGATATGGAATGCTCTCCAAGACATGTTCTTATGGTAAAGAAGTATCATCTATTATCATCTGTTTAAAAATCAGAAAAAGCTATACATTTGTTGATGTATATGTAGCCTAAATCTGGAAGAATACAATAGAAATGTTGATTACCACTTGAGGCAGAGAGTAGGTGACTACGGCTAGTGATAGGAAGGGATTTTGTCTCTGATGATTTGTACCTTTTAAATTTTGACTGAATGTGCCACATATTCATAAGTAAAATAAAACAATAACTTCCCTAAAGTCAGATACCTAGTGACAGAGAGTGACATTTCAATTTAGGACTGCCTAACTCAAAATCCCACTTTCTTTCCACTAGCCCATCATGTCTCATAGAGAAATATGGCAGAACCAACACATTTCTAATGGGTGAATCCTTAAAAGTCATCTTAAATATAGAGGACAAGAAAGGATAATGTCTTTTAGTCAAGCCGATCTCAATAATGTTAATAGCATGAAGAAACAACATGTATACCGTTCTTAATCTGAAAGAATTTCTTTTCTCTTCACAGCTGCTGGCTGGCAATTCCAGAGAGCGATGGTATTATAACAAGCCCATTCTTGTGGGCATTCATCGTACCTGTGACCATTATCCTCATCAGCAATATTGTTATGTTTACTGTNATCTGTAGGATCATTCAGTGTATTGCGTATAGTGGAAAGAACAATACATCCTAAAAAGGGTTAGATGTATAATTCATTTATGGTCTTTTATAATTAATCCCAGTCCTCAGTAAATTATTAATTCTATGCATCTCTTTATCACCTAGGAGCCCCAGCTATAGTGGTAGCTTTAACAGTGGGAATTATTTTTTCTCAGAATTCGACTAATTCACAGTGGGAATTAGAGTATCGGCAAGAGAAAATGTGAGTTTATATTTTTTAAAATGTTCATTTCTTAGATATAAGAGTGTAACTATTCAGTGATGTTGAGTCTAAGTGTAACTGTACATATGAATCTCACTTTATAATTGTCATATTTTAAGTATTCTCAAGGAACACATTATAATTTAAATATGGTGACATGAAAATTTCCTTTGATAAATCCTTTAGTAAAGCAAGTAATTACCATCTAAATTTATAATTTTGAACTTTTTTATATTAAATTTATCTTCTTTTACTAGGTCTGAAAAATCATAAGACACAATGGGTATGATCCTTAGTAATCCCTTATCTTACTTTTCTCTTCTCAAAATGGGAATTACAATAATAGTAATGCCTGCTCAGGGGTTACTGTGAGGGGTAAAAAAAATGTGAAAATATTTCTTAACTTAAAGAGCACTTTCTATGCTTATGAGCCAATTCTATGTCTATATTATTATAACGACTATTTCATGAGGATTTATCACACATAATAAATTCTCCTCATGACTCCAGTGTGAATAACTAACTTAATAATGGAAGTACCTGACTGTATGGTGTTTGCTTTTTATGTGGGAGGGAGAGAGAAAAGCTGAGCTGAACCCTTTACATGGATTTCTGCTACTGAACTGCTTTTTAATCTATTCTCCCTTCTCATTTTATAATCCAATGACTCTTATCCCCAGGCTCCATCTTAAGACCCAAACTAACTCAAATCAAAATAAAACTCTTGGAAATGTGCACGTACACCCAAGGGAAGGAAGGCTGTGGTGTCAGAAGGTTTACCTATTTCCAGGGCTGACCATTCCCAGCTATAGGGTAGGAGGCTACTTACCTGGCTTGATTTTAGGAGTCAAACACTCCAGGCACTATTTTCTCTGTTTAATTAAGGTTAAGCATCTTTTCATGAGTTTTAAAATTTTAATTCCACAATTAAAGATAAGGTAAGATGCAAATATCTCTGGGAGAAGTAATTCACTTTAAATTGCATTATTAATTTCCTACCCCAACCCAAGCACAGGGCTAGACCTACTCCTATAAAAAGCTTCAGGAGAAAGAAGACTACTGTCCTCAATTTATTCACACTGAGCTATAAATAATTGAGAGCAGATACTTTCCTGAGGACAGTATTAGATATTAGGGAAGCTACTAGGCAACCAATAGTAAGACAAGTTGGGAAGAGAGGAAAGGATGTGTAAACATGGATATCTGCCTCCTCTTAGACCCTTATCCCCCATGTTCCACCCTATACACAGGCAGAAAGGTCACATTTCTTCAGGATATATTTAGAAATAGGCAGGATTTTTTTTTTCCTGAGTTATACTCAGCAGTTGCGCTGAGTATCCCATGCTCTCCCCCAGTTCTCCCAGCTCTGCCAATGATACCTGCACCCCCTAACCCAGTTCCCCTGAAACATTGCTGTCTCTGCAGGGACCCAATTAAGAGGTGACTGCAGGGTAAGCCACAACCCTCTTTAATTCTCTATCCCCCTATTCTCTGTACTATCATTATATAGGCTGTTTTCAGACTTTCCTGAAGGGCTGAGGTAATCATGGGAAATTATAATGCATGATGGGGAAAGTTTTTCAAGTGTATGCTGTATATGCGAAAGCTGTCTTCATGGTGTGCTTCATGGCAAAATCACCAGGGAGTTAAACATTTTATCTAAGGTCTATCTATTATGCTCTCTAGACCTCAGGCCCATAGCTGTTTGTTAGATCAACCTCAACTGTGTGACTCCAATCTCAATTGTAGAATTCCCACTCCACACCTACAAGGGTTTGTCTCACTGTGGGATCCATTCCTCTCCTCAGCAGTTATTTCTCAAAATCCAAGTTATTGAATTCAGAATAACAAAAGGAGAGGCTGTAGTGAGAACAAATTCAGCACGACTATTTCTCCAAGTAGTACAAAAGATAGAGGAGATGAGGAGTCCTCTTCCAGTGTCCACTTCCTGATAACCATGGTATCCAAACCTATTTCCCTTCCAGGTCTCTCCCCGACCTCTGGTGTGAGGCAACTGAGGAATCTGATAGACATTTGTACACACACGCGTTTGCACACACATGCACACACACACACACACACACACACGTGCACACATGCTTCTATAGTATAAATAGTAGTTCTCAGAAATTATATTGTCTAAAGTTTAAACAACTCAAAATTCACACAGATAAGAATAAATATTCATCTATTTGTTTCATAACTTACAAGTTTGCCTTTATCCGAAAGAGTTGGTTTGCTCGTTTTTTTTCTTGATCCTTTTCTCCCCTTTTCAAATTGTATTTCTTTAGGCTCCCTGAGTAAGACATGTGTTCATGTGTTTTCATTTAAAACTTTTGATGGCCACTTGCATAGTCACCAAAGAAGCTTCTTGAAAGTTGAAAGTACTTCCCAGCTGGATTTCATTAAATCCTTATTAGCCAAGTGCCCTCCTAGTCTTTCTGTGTAGGGGATTGTGAGATGGAGAACAGCAGGAGGACTGTCCTCCAGGTACAGATGAAGGAAAGGGAAGCTAGAAGTCCTGAAGAGCAACTCTCTCACTCTCACCATTTTATTTAGGGATGGACTTATTCTATGTATTAATGGGTTGGAGGCACTTATTTTCATTTTTTAATTCATTACAGAGACTTGAATATCATTCCAGTTTTCTTATATATCATTCAGATGAGAAATATGGTTTGTAATCATTTCAATTATAACAACGTTCCAAAGCAAAACAATTTATAAATCCTTCAACATATATAATAATGGTGTTTTACCTGCAGGAGAAAGAAAACATACATTAATTGAATGCCAAATATGTGCCAGGGCTTCTTGCATTAAAACACAAATGCCTACCTGACACCTGCAGTTGGCTGTCTAATAGGACATCTCCTGGTCATCCCTCCCAAACCTGCTCTTCCCATCAGCTTCCCCATCTCAGTTAATGGTAATTCCATTCTTCCAGGCTCTCAGGACAAAGACCTTGGAGTCATCTTTAATTCTCCTATATCTCACACCCATCCTATCAATAAATTATTTTGCTTTACTTATAAATATATCTGCAACCAGACTATTTCATAATATCTCTACTCCTCGTCCAAGCCACCAGATTATTGCAATACACTCCTAGCTGATTTCTTACTTTTGCATGTGTCCTTCTCTCCTCTTTGCTTCTAACTAGAGTAATACTTTTAAAACTGAAGACAGAGTATGTGAAATTTCTTTCTTGCCAGGAGTGCATGTAATCACCCATAAATCCCTGAAATAATTTACACCTTTTCACTAAACCCATCTACTTTGTTCTAGCCACTGTAGCCTCTTTACTGTTCCTTAAATGTCAACTCATGGCCTTTGTACTTGCGGTTCCCTCTACCTGGACCCCCC